ACTTTGCTTTCATCCTCTATCACACAAAACTCTTCAGAATACAGTTCACAAAATTCTTCATCTTCTTTGCTTGCCAGTGCAGACAAAGAACATTTCTCCAATACCAGTGAAGTTCTCAAATTTATGTCCTTTGTGCCCACAGACGGAGAGCTTTTAGTGTCCGTATCTTTCACATGTTCCTCAACAGTTCTGAGCTGATTACTTTTATTTAGAGTAGAATCACTTCCATCATATTCCCCTTCAGAATCACATTCTTCTTCCTTAATGCTATAGTTGTTATTGCTTTCCAAATGGCCATTTAAATTGGAAAGATTTGAAAGTTCTGAAGCACTTGAAGATAAGGCTTTGGGCCTGTGGCAACTACTTTCATCACCCATTATTTTGCTGAGGAGTTGAAAAGGCTCATAGATGACTTCTGAAAGGCGTCGTTTAGTGTCTTCAATTTTAGCCTCCATTTCAGGTACTTTAAAAAAAGAACGTGTATCTGAAGGAGATGTTAATGGGGAAGAGGGGGCAGTTTTGGAATCACCACTTGTAGCTCGAGGTTGAGTGAACTGTTTGAACAGGTGCAAGTTCAGTTTAGAGTCAGGAGGTTTGTAGGATACAGTTTCCGATTCTTGTTTAGATGTATCTGTGGACAAAGACTTCACTAAGGTTTTCATTAAGTGCCTATGTCTTGTGGGAGGAGTTGGCTCTTTTGGTTCTACATCTGTTGAAAGGGACTTAACTAAACTCATAAAAGGCTTTGAGCTAGAAACAGTGGATGAAGCACTAGACAGGACAGTTGGCTTGGATGGAGAGGACAACGGGGAGGATGACGAGCTGGCTTTCTGTTCCAAAGGGGACAACACACCTGAAGAGCTAGCTACAGGATATGAATCATATGAGGGTGATAGAACTAATGGCACTGCACTGAATACTTGAGATGCTGAAGGAGGATCCAATGGCTTTACAGTGTTAACGGTTGGCAAAATCACAGGTGACGAAGGTAGGAAAGATGCAGAGTTGACCATGCTAGGCGAGGTAGCTGGATCAGGAAAATCATGGCCACCATGTTCAAAGCAGAGGTCTTCCTTGGCTTCAACTGCTGTTGTTACAATGCTTTGGTCATCCAGTTCATTACTGGGAGAATCCTTAAACTCTTCTTCCTCCTCTTCTTCCTCCTTCCCAAATGCCGAGAAGTGAATGGTGAGGATATCTCTGGAAACAGATCGCTGAACTTGCACTTTTGGGGCAGACTGCTTTGAAGACATTTCATCAGTTTTCTCTGCATGGCTACTGTTCAAACTTGTCATTGCAGGTCCCAGAGATGTGTCAGGATCTGTGAAAAGAATATTGAATTAAATTAAAGCAATTTCTCCCCAAAAACATTAAGACAAACACAGAAAAAAAAACCTACTAGTTACATATGACAAGACTGCAACTGAAGAGCAGCAAATATCCATACTAGCACTTTGTTAAAAAAGTAGTTAAATCCAGTGTATCATGTGAAACAAACTTACTCTGCAATAACTAAGAATTTATTTTCAAAATTCAGACATGTTTTAGATAAAATACATACAAACCTGACTTCTTCCAAGTGCACATGACAATACTTTTGATATCTAATGCAAAGATTAAAGGGGGACTCAGTCACAGGGAAAATGAGAAGGGAGCAAAGGAAATGGAGGAGAATAAAGGAAAATAAAAGCAAAGCAGGTGTGGGGATACAAATGGAGAGGCAAAAAGATGCCTGCCAGACCTTTTCAGATGGGCTTCAAAGAAGGAACTAGCAAGATTTCGGCGGTTGGGATGGAAAGAGAAAAAGCTTACAAAGATGCTAGGAATCAGAGGTATGAATTATTAGTGCTCTCCATGATACAGATTGAACCTGTCTAGTCTGGCACTCTAGGACCTGATCAGTGCCTGACTAGAGAATTTCCCAAGCCACGGAAGTCAATATTATCTAGCAACATTACCAACACTTCCACTGCTTACTGGGCTTTTAGAAGACATTTAGGGGTAAATTAGAGCTAAATAACAGCATGGAACACAGAGCCAGAATTGGTGGCCATATACAACCTTTTTGGGACCATGGGAAACCTGGCCACAGCCATGATAAGTAGATATTCAGATAACTAAAATCATGCCGGATCATGGATGTTGCTGGACCAGAGAATCCTTACGCCTATAGTAGAAGTACAGCTAACAGCCAATGCATGTTTCCACATAGCAGAAAAATATACCTACCACCATTAAGATAGTTAAAGATTCTACACTGGTAAGCTACTTTTAAGTTTCTACAATTATTTGCACTGTGAAGCACCACGATCTCTCTCTCTCTCTCTCTCTCTCTCTCTCCTGTTTTGGACAGTACTAAAATTCTAAAGTCATGATTTTAAAAGGATTCTCAGTAAATGTTGGCAGTATCCCCAAAATAAGCAGGTAGTATACCCATCAAAAGGGTAATACTACCTTAGTTAGGACTATTTGCCTTGTCATCCAATACAAATTTCTTCTCTGAGAAACACCTAAGGCAAAGAAGTTGAAAGCCATTCTATTGCTAGGAAAATTAAGTGTTCAGCTGTCTTTGACTGTTTGTGGTAATAAGAGGGAATTTCAATTTTGACCCAGGTTTTGAACAGGGTGTTCAGATCTGGGAGGTTTCAGAATCACCCCACGGCAAAGATAAAAGTGAGATATAACAATCTAACTTGCAAGCCCTTAAACTAGCTTGGGATTGTTCGCATTCCTGAGCTTGTTTCAGGCCCATAGTTAGTTGTGATGTCAGTTCAGATGTGCTGTATGTGCCTAGAAATCTATTGCTCGTCATGCAGGCTAAGGCTGAAAAGTGTGTGTGTGTGTGTGTGTGTGTGTGTGTGTGCGTGTGTGTGCGTGTATATATATATATATATATATATATACACGCACACACACGCACACACACACACACACACACACACACACACACTTTTCAGCCTTAGCCTGCATGACGAGCAATAGATTTCTAGGCACATACAGCACATCTGAACTGACATCACAACTAACTATGGGCCTGAAACAAGCTCAGGAATGCGAACAATCCCAAGCTAGTTTAAGGGCTTGCAAGTTAGATTGTTATATCTCACTTTTATCTTTGCCGTGGGGTGATTCTGAAACCTCCCAGATCTGAACACCCTGTTCAAAACCTGGGTCAAAATTGAAATTCCCTCTTATTACCACAAACAGTCAAAGACAGCTGAACACTTAATTTTCCTAGCAATAGAATGGCTTTCAACTTCTTTGCCTTAGGTGTTTCTCAGAGAAGAAATTTGTATTGGATGACAAGGCAAATAGTCCTAACTAAGGTAGTATTACCCTTTTGATGGGTATACTACCTGCTTATTTTGGGGATACTGCCAACATTTACTGAGAATCCTTTTAAAATCATGACTTTAGAATTTTAGTACTGTCCAAAACAGGAGAGAGAGAGAGAGAGAGAGAGAGAGAGAGATTCGAACACACACACAGTCCCTGAGAGGAATTTTCCACTGAGAAAACAATGTCCTGTACTTCAAAATTTAATCACCTCAAATCTCTCTTACAAGTGTAAATTAAGTTCACAACTCCCTTGTAAGAACTGGTCTCACAGCAGACAGACCAGCATCAATTGGCAATTAAGATAAGAAAGAGAAATACGTGACCTCATGATTATAAAAGATGGGCCCAGCACACACTCACTTTGAGTGTCATTCTACCCTCTACCTGCTGGTCGGGTTAGGTGTTTGACCTCCCGAGGTTCTATGGGGACGCCCACCTCGTATTTTCGTCTTTCCTAGGAATTGAGGGACCGGCCCTGGCCTGACATGCTGGAGTCGAGAGGCACAGAAGGGGGTAAAAATGGTACCTGGATGTGGTCCTCTGTCTTAAGTGTACACATAGAAAGAGTAAGCTGTTACTTGGTACCATTATTTCTATTTTTCTATCTTTATCTTCTTTGTAACCATTTTTAAGACCTATATTTTGCTAATAGTTAAGAAATAGAGCAATAGCCATTGTAACCATATGATTTATAAGCTTCTTTAATAAACCTGTAACTGTTTAAGCTTTAACCTGCCTCCTTCAGTTGCTGTAACAGAACCAAGCACAATTTAAAAGAACTTCAGCCGGTCTAAAGGGACAGTTATAGGAAGAGCTTGGGCGTTTGGATCTGTGTCACTCCCAGGTGACAGGACCCACTGGGGCATCTTTCAGTCTTTCCTCAAGGCTGCCCGCTGCGAAGGGATTATGAAATTCTAGCAGCTGAAATCTAAGATGTAATAAGCTCTTCCTATATAACGGGGCGTCTGTTGGCCTGCTGGCCACCCTCTGCGATGGGACCCCGGTCCTAGCAGTAAAGGCACGGACGTTAAACCTTTTCTCGGAAACATACACACACACACTGCCCTGACCGTCGGCTGACACGTAGCTCTTTTGATTGGCTGCAATCATCCAACTAAGATAGGTGTGTTATAAGATGTTTAAAAAGTCAAATATAGACACACCCCAACTCAGATTGTCCTCCTTGACATTTTTTTACTTAACATTTCCTATTCCCAACCTAATTACCTGACATTTGATGTAAGTTTGTTTTCTCAATTTCTATACTGCAAAGGTAGAAGCTTCACTAAAAAAAAAACATAACAGTGCTTTTGGAATTTCCTGGACTGTCTACGTTACAATGAATTGCAATCTGGATAGCAAATTCCCTCAGAAACAAACAAACAAACAAAAAAAAATAATCACACTTTTGCAACAAATCAGTCATGGGCCACACACAGGTGAGAAACAAAAAAGAAAAAGAAAAATAAACCCTCAATGATGTGGCCCCCGACTGAGAAGGAGAAAGACACTCCCCACATTTCCCTTGCACACCAGAGCCTTGTGAGGCCCAGGTTAGTAGATTTTGTGTGCTCCAGCCCCACAGTGGGATAGCTGGAGTGCCATTGCAGACTCCTCAATGCTGGGGGATGAGCACCGAGTCTCGGAGGTCACATCCAGCCCTGGGCCTTAGGTCCCCCATCCCTGCTCCAAAGAGGGAAGTAACGTTGATTCTCTCTCGTCTTGCATAAGTAATTCACGAAGGAAGCTAAGTAGAATATTCTTGCCTACAAAATCATGATTAATATTGCTAACATCTTCAATTATGCTCACTTATAGTTATGATTCTAAGGTGCAAATATGCTGAACTAAATTAGCTGATCTAGCCAAAGGATAATATGTCCATTTAGCAATCTCACCTTCAATATTTCCGGTTCTTTGATGTCCAGAGATGCTGTATTCCAGTGCTTGCTCAGATTACTATGTAGCTTGTGATATTTATGAACATTTGATGTAAAAAGCCAAATCAAACAGATAGCAATCATAAATCCAAGGGCAACTCCCAGGAAGAGTCCACAGAAGTAACTAGGGAGAGGGAGTATAAGATAAGCATAGACTAACATTGTAAAGAAATACAAAGTCTTAACTGGTATTTTAGGCTGCTGTATGCATAAATCAGCTTCATCTTCACTATGGAGAGCAGTCCCATTTTCCTCAGTTATTTCTGCCTGGAGCAAAGGTTCTGTGGGGTTTTCCACTTTGCTTTCATCCTCTATCACACAAAACTCTTCAGAATACAGTTCACAAAATTCTTCATCTTCTTTGCTTGCCAGTGCAGACAAAGAACATTTCTCCAATACCAGTGAAGTTCTCAAATTTATGTCCTTTGTGCCCACAGACGGAGAGCTTTTAGTGTCCGTATCTTTCACATGTTCCTCAACAGTTCTGAGCTGATTACTTTTATTTAGAGTAGAATCACTTCCATCATATTCCCCTTCAGAATCACATTCTTCTTCCTTAATGCTATAGTTGTTATTGCTTTCCAAATGGCCATTTAAATTGGAAAGATTTGAAAGTTCTGAAGCACTTGAAGATAAGGCTTTGGGCCTGTGGCAACTACTTTCATCACCCATTATTTTGCTGAGGAGTTGAAAAGGCTCATAGATGACTTCTGAAAGGCGTCGTTTAGTGTCTTCAATTTTAGCCTCCATTTCAGGTACTTTAAAAAAAGAACGTGTATCTGAAGGAGATGTTAATGGGGAAGAGGGGGCAGTTTTGGAATCACCACTTGTAGCTCGAGGTTGAGTGAACTGTTTGAACAGGTGCAAGTTCAGTTTAGAGTCAGGAGGTTTGTAGGATACAGTTTCCGATTCTTGTTTAGATGTATCTGTGGACAAAGACTTCACTAAGGTTTTCATTAAGTGCCTATGTCTTGTGGGAGGAGTTGGCTCTTTTGGTTCTACATCTGTTGAAAGGGACTTAACTAAACTCATAAAAGGCTTTGAGCTAGAAACAGTGGATGAAGCACTAGACAGGACAGTTGGCTTGGATGGAGAGGACAACGGGGAGGATGACGAGCTGGCTTTCTGTTCCAAAGGGGACAACACACCTGAAGAGCTAGCTACAGGATATGAATCATATGAGGGTGATAGAACTAATGGCACTGCACTGAATACTTGAGATGCTGAAGGAGGATCCAATGGCTTTACAGTGTTAACGGTTGGCAAAATCACAGGTGACGAAGGTAGGAAAGATGCAGAGTTGACCATGCTAGGCGAGGTAGCTGGATCAGGAAAATCATGGCCACCATGTTCAAAGCAGAGGTCTTCCTTGGCTTCAACTGCTGTTGTTACAATGCTTTGGTCATCCAGTTCATTACTGGGAGAATCCTTAAACTCTTCTTCCTCCTCTTCTTCCTCCTTCCCAAATGCCGAGAAGTGAATGGTGAGGATATCTCTGGAAACAGATCGCTGAACTTGCACTTTTGGGGCAGACTGCTTTGAAGACATTTCATCAGTTTTCTCTGCATGGCTACTGTTCAAACTTGTCATTGCAGGTCCCAGAGATGTGTCAGGATCTGTGAAAAGAATATTGAATTAAATTAAAGCAATTTCTCCCCAAAAACATTAAGACAAACACAGAAAAAAAAACCTACTAGTTACATATGACAAGACTGCAACTGAAGAGCAGCAAATATCCATACTAGCACTTTGTTAAAAAAGTAGTTAAATCCAGTGTATCATGTGAAACAAACTTACTCTGCAATAACTAAGAATTTATTTTCAAAATTCAGACATGTTTTAGATAAAATACATACAAACCTGACTTCTTCCAAGTGCACATGACAATACTTTTGATATCTAATGCAAAGATTAAAGGGGGACTCAGTCACAGGGAAAATGAGAAGGGAGCAAAGGAAATGGAGGAGAATAAAGGAAAATAAAAGCAAAGCAGGTGTGGGGATACAAATGGAGAGGCAAAAAGATGCCTGCCAGACCTTTTCAGATGGGCTTCAAAGAAGGAACTAGCAAGATTTCGGCGGTTGGGATGGAAAGAGAAAAAGCTTACAAAGATGCTAGGAATCAGAGGTATGAATTATTAGTGCTCTCCATGATACAGATTGAACCTGTCTAGTCTGGCACTCTAGGACCTGATCAGTGCCTGACTAGAGAATTTCCCAAGCCACGGAAGTCAATATTATCTAGCAACATTACCAACACTTCCACTGCTTACTGGGCTTTTAGAAGACATTTAGGGGTAAATTAGAGCTAAATAACAGCATGGAACACAGAGCCAGAATTGGTGGCCATATACAACCTTTTTGGGACCATGGGAAACCTGGCCACAGCCATGATAAGTAGATATTCAGATAACTAAAATCATGCCGGATCATGGATGTTGCTGGACCAGAGAATCCTTACGCCTATAGTAGAAGTACAGCTAACAGCCAATGCATGTTTCCACATAGCAGAAAAATATACCTACCACCATTAAGATAGTTAAAGATTCTACACTGGTAAGCTACTTTTAAGTTTCTACAATTATTTGCACTGTGAAGCACCACGATCTCTCTCTCTCTCTCTCTCTCTCTCTCTCGTTTTGGACAGTACTAAAATTCTAAAGTCATGATTTTAAAAGGATTCTCAGTAAATGTTGGCAGTATCCCCAAAATAAGCAGGTAGTATACCCATCAAAAGGGTAATACTACCTTAGTTAGGACTATTTGCCTTGTCATCCAATACAAATTTCTTCTCTGAGAAACACCTAAGGCAAAGAAGTTGAAAGCCATTCTATTGCTAGGAAAATTAAGTGTTCAGCTGTCTTTGACTGTTTGTGGTAATAAGAGGGAATTTCAATTTTGACCCAGGTTTTGAACAGGGTGTTCAGATCTGGGAGGTTTCAGAATCACCCCACGGCAAAGATAAAAGTGAGATATAACAATCTAACTTGCAAGCCCTTAAACTAGCTTGGGATTGTTCGCATTCCTGAGCTTGTTTCAGGCCCATAGTTAGTTGTGATGTCAGTTCAGATGTGCTGTATGTGCCTAGAAATCTATTGCTCGTCATGCAGGCTAAGGCTGAAAAGTGTGTGTGTGTGTGTGTGTGTGTGTGTGTGTGCGTGTGTGTGCGTGTATATATATATATATATATATATATACACGCACACACACGCACACACACACACACACACACACACACACACACTTTTCAGCCTTAGCCTGCATGACGAGCGACATCTGGGTCTATTCTTGGATCAGAGGGATATGGGGAGAGAAGGAAGCCGCCTTCACCCTCCATAAAATGAAGGATCATACCTCCTACATCACCAGGTTCAGGTTAGCAATGAAAGCATTTTGAGATTCTTTGATGGACAGGTGTTGTGTAAAAGCAAAGCATTATGTCTATCATTTAGGAAATTGAACTCCAGGTAATACTGAAAATGGCGACATTACGCCCCCATAAAGTCCTCTGACAAAGCAGCTATTAAAAAGCAAAAGAGCATAATAGTAGAGACAAGAATTAAAAGCACAGGAAGCTTCTAGCTTGAGTTAAGTTGCATCCTCACAGCATGCTAAAGGCTGGTTAACAAATTCTCCTTTCTACACCTCTAAACATGAAGCAGCCCTTAGTCTATATACAAGAAGATGGTACTGCAGCATAGGCAGACCAATCCCATTTCTGGAGCCTAAGTGTGTGATCACTATGACATATTTCTATGAGCTCAATGTCAAATGAACACAAATTTGTTTCAAAGATGTTGATCTCCTCTCCACCTCTAGTTCAATATGCCAAGATCACGTAAAAAAAAAATCCTGAGCCAAACCTGCTAGCAATACCTCTTTGCATATTAACTACATCACATCAATTTATGATATGCATCTGAACTAGAACACAGACACAGACTTTTAAAAAGAAATGAATTCCAGGTACTGGTGACCACCATACAAAATGCATGAGCATATAACCTCTGCAATTTCCCATGAAGCAGTATTTTATTTTCATTGTCAAGACAACAAGTTAGTCACCTTAGTAACTAAACTATTTTCAGGAGCTGTGAACATGTTGTAATCAAACTGTCAAGCAGAATTAATCAGAAGTCTTTGCTAATGTTTAAAGTGCTGTTCTACTCAGAATCCAGCTCCCGAGTCTCCCATAGCTTTTCTGTTCTGCGGGTAATATGTAAACCAGAACTGTTAACCAACTAAGTTCCAACTGCAGGACCAAGTTCTGCCAAGCAGGTACAGCAGTGCAATCCTACTGCAGCCAAAGAGCTAAAGTTGGCCTACAGAAGCAATTACAGGTGATTATATAAAAGAATGGAAAACCCCAATGGAGCTTTCAGATCCAGGGCGAATTTGCAGTTGGAAAGGAAAAAAGATGTAACATTTTATATATTTATCTATTTATTTTACTTGTAACTCAAGTAATTTGCTCTGGAAATTAAGATACAAATATGAATCCATATACAGGTACTGTCTTTCACAGATTTACTTTTCATAATAGAATGTTTTTACTGATAATTACACAAACTGGTATCATTGTACCAGATATAAAAAGCAGTCACATAAACCAAACTCCTTAAAACTAAATTAATTGCAAGAAAAAAATTATTAAGGTTCCTTTCCCCTAGCCCACTCCAAAACACTAGAATGTGGGTTACAAGAGAAGTGGGTGTGGAGTGTCATTCCCAATATTTTGGGAATGTTTTCTGTTCTCCAACAAAATATGTTCAAACCTATTCCTTGGGTTCTACGATATACACTTTTTTTTTTTTGCTTTGTTATGCAACTAAGTTAACAGTTCATTTCTGAGAAAATCTGTATATTGCTTTCAGAATGCAAGACTGGAGTGAGACAGGATTTTGACTTGATGCTCATCACTAGGATGTTAACAAAGAAACTATTCTTATAATAAATCATGCATCAGTGAATCAGATTTTACTGTTTAGAGCATAATCTAGATCTCTTAAAACATACCAAATGGATAGTGGAGCTTAATTAATGAACTCAGGACCTTCACTTCCTAATTTTTTATTTTAATTACACAGCCTCTGGTGTCTCATCTATGCACTTCCATAGCATCTTCCATCTGAGGCTCACACAGTGTTTATAGGCATAATAAATTAAACTTTACAGCACCATCAGTATATTGCCCATTTTAAGTGGGAAAACTAAGGCAAAATATAAGCAACTTCATCTAGGTCACACAGGAAGTCTATAACAGATAATGAGGACAGTCCCCAGTTTCTGAGTCACACAAGATCACCCTTCCTTATATTTGATGTGCAATAGTTCAGGTAGTAAGTTTACCATTAAAAGTTATTAAATAAGAAGTTTGGCATTGTGTCACCATTAAAGATCTAGGAGTATGCTTGCTCAGCCAGCCAGCATGGCCAGAAGACTTATTTTTCCCCAGACAATAGCCTACTTTTTCCACTGAAGTTAAACATTGTCCCAAATGACTTATTTTGCTGGTCTGTTCAGAAACAAGGCTTTTTGAAATCACAGCACTTATCCCACTCTGATGCTCTCCCAGCCAGAAGAACTCATGAAGGAATTAAGTCCTTTTTAACCTCATCAGAAGGATGTCACTCTTGACCACAATGCACTGATCGCCTGGATATATGCATGAGGAGAAAGTTTTTTTTTAAAAAACCCACGGAGGGGGGGAGCAGTAATTGAAGAACCTTGCCCACATTTTGTTCCTACAAAAATCCAAATCAGCTCCACTGGAACCACAATTTTGACAACTGTCTTTAATAGTTACTTATACATATTGCCTATTTTTACTTACACGTAAAGGAAGCCTTGCAATATTGCAGTTTGTAAAACAGAATTAGCTCACACTGCCAAACATCTCCTAGTGAGTGGCTGGAGTATAATAAACGCAGGTCTTGGTTTCAGGTCTCTGTATTTTTATAGCAAATGCAGAGACATCTACCACAGCTTGCAAACCTTTTCCTAATTTGATTGGAACCAAGGAATTAAACGCTCTACAAACTGGAGAAATCAGTATTGCAGAGCACAGTTGTAAAACTCTCAAGTTTAGATACATTGTTTTTGAAGATTGAAACTAGACACCCAAACAATGTGGAATTGATTAACCAGTGTTTAGTTTGGTTTGCTTCCTCTCCTTATGACACTAGCACTATTAATCCTTCACTTTACTTGAGTCAAGCTCACTGCAGATAAGAATTACAATGTTCTCACCTAACTGCTAGCTCCATCATCATATTGCAATCCTGACCTTAGACACACACATCTGTCAACGAATTTCAATCCTAACCTACAGCACTCTTACTAGTCCAGCTCCCTGAATCTCTCCCTACTTTCCCTCCCATATTTACTCCCCCAACTGTAACTTCTACATCCCCCACCTTACCTCTGACAATGCACATGAATCCTGCCCTTAAGCACACCCTTCAACTCCCTCCCTCTGTTCTAGTTCAGAGCCTTTTTTCATGCACTATCAATTGTGCAGATCCGACTTCTGGGGGGCATTCATAAACTGTAACATTATTACCAGAACTATAAGTTGAAATTGCTGTGCATCTGCTCAAACAATTTAAAGATTAGTA